TCATAACTTAAAATTTATGTTGCACATATATTTATTATTTCACTTTTTCATCAGTTTTTAACATTTATATAAATACAATTAATTAAATTTAAAAGTAAGTACGCAAATAAGAACTTAAAAAATAGCTTCCTGTATATAAACAAAAATTTTAAAAAGAAACATTTGCGACAAACATTTAATATTAGTTAGTTAAATACATATAATTTAAAGAGGAACTTAAAATTAAAACAGCAATCCGATTGTTTATGCAGTTAAATAATATTCAAATACATATCAATGCAAACAAATCATAAAAAAACATTTAATTTTACTGTAATCATTACAATTAAACAAACTTTTTAAAAAAATTGAAATAATCTAAAAACATGATTCAATAAATAAATGTTTATCTCCAAAAAAAGCATTTTAAATAATGATGAATAATACTTTTCTTTAGTTTAAATACAAATTTATAAAATTTGCGTAAAGCAAAGAAATGAAATAAATCCCAATTGTTTGTTACAAAATTAAATTATTTGAGATTTGACAATAAACGATTAAAATTAATTCATAGTTTACTTTCANAACTTTAAAAATAGCTTCCTGTATATAAACAAAAATTAAAAAAAAAAAAAAAAGCATTTGCAACAAACATTTAATATTAGCTAAATACATATAATTTGAAAAGGAACTTAAAATTAAAACAGCATTCCGATTGTTTATGCAGTTAAATAATATTCAAATACATATTAATGCAAACAAATGATAAAAAAAAACATTTAATTTTACTGTAATCATTACAATTAAACAAACTTTTTAAAAAAATTGAAAGAATCTAAAAACATGATTCAATAAATAAATGTTTATCTCCAAAAAAAGCATTTTAAATAATGATGAATAATACTTTTCTTTAGTTTAAATACAAATTTATAAAATTTGCGTAAAGCAAAGAAACGAAATAAATCCCAATTGTTTGTTACAAAATTAAATTATTTGAGATTTGACAATAAACGATTAAAATTAATTCATAGTTTACTTTCATGTGCAAATAGAGAAATGTATACAATAAAAATGTCTCAAATGATTTAATTTAATTGTTATTTGTGTTTTTTATGCCAATGATCATTTGATGTTTTTCACTTATATGTTTTTTGATTAATAAAAAAAACATCAGACCAGGATATTCTTTAAAAATATTAGAGAATTTTTCTAACAGCTTTAATCAAATCGTAAAGTAATTTATTCTAGCTTTCTAAGCATGAATGTTGAGGAAGAATGTTATGTATTCGAGAATGTCAACCTTCATCTGTCGAAAGGTACCTCAAAATTGAATCAAGTTACCATATCTTATATACTACTGATTTGGTATTTAATATTTATAGTGGTAGTTATGCCACATTACTCATTGTTTTCTTTATTTATTTAATTTATTAATTGTCCGGGAGATTGTTTTTCATCATCTGATTTTTGAGCTCTATTTTATGAGCAAATCACCTATTCAATGTCACCTATTACCATCTCTTATTCCATCGATGTTGGTGAGTTCATATCACTTTCGGATGTCACCAATAAGGGGATTTAATTAGCGACTATGTCAATCTTCATCTATCAAAAGGTACCTCGGTAGTTACGCCACAAACCTAAATAACGTTAAGCCAACGGAATTTGAAAGAAAACTAATCTGAATTTATGTACCAAGTGCCAATTTGTGAGAAAAGTAGTGATTATGGTAATTGTAAAATATCATGTATAGGACTTCAATGAAAATTCAAAATGTAAAAGTCACATTTGTGTTTAATGCTCTTTGATTTGCATCATAAAATTTTAATATTTTAATGAGATGTTGCATTACGGTATTGAACAATTTAAACAAACTATGGCATTGGGCAATTAGAAATGCTTAACAGATAAAATCATGCTTATATTGTTATCACTTCGTTTTACGAAAATTAATTTCGATAAACAAAAATATTGACCACAATCGAAATAATTTTTAAAAGTTTCGATTTCGCAATAAATTTATTGAAAAGTTAATTAACTTTGATAAATCAATAACCCACACTCATTATTAGGTACGAAAAATCTGCTTAATTAGTTACGCACACAAACTTTACGATTAATATCTATTTTTGAAAAATTATATTCAAACTTTTATATTAATTCATATTTCGACAACTTAATCAAAATAAATTTTAACGACTAATTTTTTTAGAGTTTTCCAATAATAATTTCGATTTATTTTCAAACTTCTGAAATCAAATTAACTAATTTATGTCATTCCATCAGAAAGCAGTTTATTTAAGCAATATTTTCTATATAATTCAATAACACAACAAAATCAATTATTTCACCTTTTTATTAAACAAATTGATTAAAGAGTACGCCAACTTAGACCATTTCTGTAGTTTACTTCCAGATATCTAAATAAACTTAACTTCATTACATTATTCTACTTCAAAGCTAAAAGTGGTCCTATTACTTTCTATATAAGTTCAATGAAACAAACCAAACAATAAACTTATTCTAATCATAACCTGGGGGCATATATTATTGATTCATTTATCTGAGAGAGCAAGAACATTTAATGGATTTTCTTTTTAAAAAAATAGAAATTCTAATTCTATAAGGCGAAATGGGTACTCGGTACTTAATTTCATAAAGATTTGGCTTCACACGGCTTTTTACCGTGTATAACTTTGGCGACCTTTTCTCCTTATTTTCCACCAAGTCAAATATCTCGAGGCCTGATTAAAAGATCATCTTATAAACAGGAGGTCTCTACTCAAGTGCTTTTTGCTTCCAAAAAATTATAAAAATCACTTCCAAAGCGTGCAGTTCTTTTTGTGTTTCTGCAATTCATTTTAAAGACAGGTATGTGTTGGTAGATAAATAAGAAAATGACGCTATTTCATTTTCACTGGTCTTGAAATAATTTCTTGGGTAAATATCTCGTACTTCAAGAAGTGGTTCAAAGTGGGGACAAAAAAAGAGGTGTGTCTGGAAATATGATTAAGATTTCTCACTAGACCATCGAAATTATCACCAATTTTCTGAGTTATGCGTTCGGAAAATTTGAGATTAAAAAGAATGTGTTCGAAACTATACTTCATCAAAATGATGTTCTCTTTAAAAAAAAAAGTTACGCAGTGCTAAAGATTTATTAAATTAAAAGCAATTCAAAACTGTTTGACATAATTTTTGAGAATAAAGTATTGCGCTTTTTTTCTTTTGAACTTGATTTATTCATATTTAATGGAAAATTTTAAATCCAACTCAAATTAGACCTGCCATTCAAAATTTGCTGTGATAGTTTGCAATAAATAATCATTATAAATGAAAATAAACCAAGAACCAATCACATAGCAGTAAGCAAAAATTGCGGAAACCCGAAATTGACGTCACTGAAAGCAAAGGCATTGAATATCATGGCAACCGGAACTGAATTTTAGCAAATTGAACGATAATTATCGCCAAATCAAGGAGGCCCGATAATATTATACTTCCTTACATTTTTTGCACATTAAAACATCAAACATATTACATAAATATTAACAGCATATAATAGTGTTCTTGATATTTCTATCACTTTAAAATTAAAAAAAGTTTAACTCATCAACTTACACTACAAACTAATTAAATTTATCACATTAATTGCATCAAAATCAAATTCAAATTTCCTTTCAAAATGTTCTTAGTTTCTGCTTTATAATTTCTTTTTCGTATTAAAATGGCGAACATATGTATTACATAAATTATAACAGTACATCATGGCGTTTTTTTTTTTTTAAAGTTATTATTTTTAAATAATTATGTTCAAAACATCTAATTCAAGAAAGTTTCTGGTCCATCACATTTAGGTGCATTAGAACTAAATTAAATGTACTATGATTGGATAATAATAGTTTGTTCACTTAATATTTATTTTATTATCGAATTTTTATTAACTTGTCTTTCGCATCTGAGAGGTAGAAACCTTGCCATTGAAATTGTGATCACTTTTCAACTATTTAGAACACTCAATTCTTAGATGCATCAAATAATTTTTATTGACCACTAGAAGCAGTTTTCCTTTTTTTTTTTTAACCCATTTGCAAATAAGGTGTTGTTTTGGGTTTGATGGCTTGCGCAACTAATTTGCACATCATCACACTTTTCAATTGTGTTCAAGAGTAATAGCAAACATTGCGCATGCGTCGTCATTGCATGCGTTTGCAATGGCTTCCTCTGCTGTTTGAAAGATGATATTTAGAATTTTTTTTTCACTTTTAATTTTGTTATGCATTAAGTTGGTAAGCTTATTTTTGAGATATGGGATCAGAGAAATCTCATAAATACTTCTTGAGTTGTGAATAAAAGCAAATTTCATCATTTGAACGACATTTTTGATATTATAGTTTTAATTAAGAATCAGAAAATCTAACCTACAGTTCAAACTGGATTATTTTCAATACTAATTCAGGTGAATATCGCAAATAAAGAGGGTAAAAAAAAATTAGACAACAACAATTTTGCATATGGGTAACCTGTGTTTGCCTTTAGGCTATCACTTTTTTTTATTCGTAACTTATTTCCTCCTTTTTTTGTCATTTTATCGTTAATGATAATTTTAGTTATTTACCAATTAGCTCCATAAAATTTCAACTGGAGCTTTGTATCTTATTGTAGCAATTGATTTCCCACTTGCTTATTTTTCCTTTTAGATCTGTGGAAAACAAAACTATTTACCACTAATATTTATAAATGTGCTAAAAAGATGCATAAAAAACATAGACTATTGCTGCACACACATTAAATGATTTTATTATCGTTCTTGTTTGATAATAAGCTTTCATTAATAGAAATGTAGAAGCGTCTATAAGGGATAGATAATGCTTCTTACACTCATTAAACAAGTATTTAAGTCTTAATCAATAATTTAATTTATGAAACTGACTGAACTTAATTTACTCATTTCCAAAAATACCCACACAAAATAAGAATATTTAGAGATGCTTTTTTTTTCTTCTTTTTTTTAAAGTGAAATTCATTCAGAGAGTCACGTGTGCTAAACTGATTTTATTGTCACATTTTAGATGAAACTAATTGCTATTTACCCAAAACATGCATTTTATTTCTAGAAAATGAATCTCTTTCCATGTTTTGCATTAAACACACAAAATCAGGGCAAATCTTCTGAATGGCGATCACGCTGAGAACACGTGTTTTCACCCAAGAATGAAACACTACAGCTATAGCCCAAAGTTATTGAAATAGCCATTTATCCCCAGCAAATGACACAAAAGAATCGATAGCATGTGTTTCCTGCAAGATTAATGGAAGTCCGATAAATCGACCTCTTTTAATTTTTCTCTCCCCCCGTCTTCGCTCCCTTTCGTCGTAACTTCAGTGATTAGCGTAAACTGTGTTTTAATCGTTAGAATGGAACTGATTTTATCTTAGAAACAAAACATGAGGTCTATGGGTGACCTGTAAACAATACGAACAGTTTTATTTAGAAAGTTTTATAAGCTGCTGTTTTGTTGTCAGTTTTATTCCTGTGAAGTTGAATTTTGAGTACTTATAGCAACAAAAGTCGTTAAAATGAAGAAAAGCAACAGTATGAGAATGAATCATGGTGTTTATTTTAAAAACAGCTCTTTTTATTTCGATAGGTATGTTAGAAATATTTTGTTCAGATGTGTTATCAGTTGTGAGAATTAAATTTTTCAAAAACACTTGTACCAATTTCATCTATGTATTTTTGGCGGTAAATTATGTGACACAAATTCTTTATCATCAAGACATTTAATTTTATACATCAAAACATTTAAGTTAAGGAAAGCACGTGTGACTCAAATATATTTACAAGATAACAACTTACACTAATATATTTAAAACTCAAACTTAATGACAGCCAAAAAAAGGTATATTTTAATTTTAATTTTTTCCAGCCTTCAAGTGTTCATTTTTCTTCTTTTTTAGGTTTTTTTACGGATTCTTCGTTTAGAGATTTTTCTATCACAGCTTCTAGTTTTTTAAGTTCTTCTTCCAGGGATTCCTTTTTTAACTGCTCTTCTTTTACAGATCCTTCTTCTACAGGTTCTTCTTTTGTAGATTCTTCTTCCACGGGTTCTTCTTTTACAGATCCTTCTTTGAAAGGCTCTTTTACAGATTCTGCTGCTTCAGCAACGTCATTTATTTTATGTTTCTTCAACGGTTTTGCCTGACTCTGAGTTTTAACTTTAATATATTTGTAGAAGTAGGCCAAAATAGCGAAAGCAAGCATATCCACTGCCATAAGAATAGAAAACATAAAAAATTCCCAATACTTTTTTTTAAATATTTCTGCTTCAGCTACTACAGCAACGACTACATTACCTAGTGAAACGGTCATTAACCACGCTGCTTGTATGACTGATTTCATAGAAAGCGGAGCCTGTGAATATGAAAATTCTAATCCTGTAATGGAAAACATAATTTCTGCTGCAGTAAGGACGAAGTACTGTGGTATTTGTAGAAGAATGTGAAGAGAATTAGGGTTTACCGTTGTGGTAATGAGGAAATTCGAATATGTAGTATTTTTCACTATTCCAACTATATATGTGCCACCGGAATGAAATTTAGCTTCACCAATTGAGATTTCTGTTTGAGAGCTTTCATTACGAGTTAAATAAATTTCATATTTCCCAGGCTCCATAGGGATATAACCTGTCCGACCAATGTCATTATTTCCAGTTTCATTGTCATGTGAAAAGAGATATGCTCTGTGCCCTTTAAATTCAAATGTCGCATTTTTAGATAAATTCTGAATCGAAAAAAATACTCTTACCTGTGCAAACCCTTGACGTGATTTAGCTTTTTGATCTGAACCTGTTTGAACATGAATTTTGTTACTTTCAACGGCTAAAAATGTAGACTGGATAGGGTTGGAGTTTACGATTTCTACAGTTTCACTTAAATTGGCGCACCCGGCTGTCTGATCAGCTACTGTTGAAAAAGTCCAATGGTCTTTATGTTTCAATTTCAGATTGCTAAAAGTTGTCATTTCGTTTGCTTTAAGGAGATAATTCTGAGGTCCAGTGATATTGACAGAACATGGATTTAAGTTAACGACGATTAGTTGACTATATCCAGGCTCTGGTAACACGGGAAGTGTACCTTCCACACCAATTTCAAGAAATCCAGCCATGACAAAAGCAAGGGCTGCAAGAAATCCCCCTAAGGTTATGCGTTGCAGTGGCTTCGTGAGAATATTGCATTTCCCAAGTAAAGGATATACAGCATACTGGAAAAGGGGAATAAAAATTATAATAAACACAGGATTCGAAGCTTGCAACTGATCGGGTTTAATATTAATTCCATACAGTTCCCCATTCATTTTTGTTGCTTGTAACGTCCATCGAGAACCTGTTTGGTCAAAAAGGGCCCAAAAAATGGGTAGTGGAATGAACAATACTAAAATATGCAACAAGATCTTAATATCAGAGATCAATGATTTTTCATATTTATCTTCGGCGTAGTCTAACCAGTGTGCTTTCTTCTCCTTGTCTGTGCTTTCCCATTTATTTAATATTCCACGAAATATGCATCCAAGAACTGACGGCAACACATTTCCTTCTGGCTCTTTTATAATATAACGAGATTTACCTAAAACGAAGAAGACCACTGCAATGATCATTAGTATAGCCGGTACTCCAAAAGCTAGAGGGTAGCAAGTGTTTTCATTGAAACAGCTCACGTCCGCTCGAAGAATAGGAGTTAATAGAGTAGAAAGGAGGCTTCCTAAGTTTATTGAAAAGTAAAATATCGAAAAGAAATGTTCCCGCTCTTTAACCTGATCGCTATGGAACTGATCTCCTCCAAATGCCGATACGCACGGCTTTATTCCTCCAGTTCCAATGCCGATGATTACCAATCCAAGAAGACTGACAACCTTCATAATCTGCAGACTGTTTGGAAAAGATCCGACAGAAATCATAATAACTCCAAGCACATAAATAAACGAAACATAAAAAATGGTTCTGAATCTTCCTAGCCAGGTATCGGCGACTATAGCACCCAAAATCGGTGTGAAATAGGAGAGCATAGCAAACACGTGAAAAAGCATGGTAGCAGTATCTTCGCTGAACAGGAGACGCTCGGTGAGGTAAATTGTGAGAATTGTGCGCATTCCATAAAAGCAAAACCTTTCACAGAATTCATTGCCAAGAATGAAAAAGATAGACTTAGGAAAAAGGTGATGAGTTTCTTTTTTGCTTGGCTCCATAATTATTCCAATCGATAGGTCTAGCAAAGGGGTTTTTTAATTTGTGATACACTGCATTAATTAAAAGAAGTAAGTATCACAGTTGGATATACACACGTTTAAAAGGCATTTAAACGGAAATTCCGAACTTACAATGCTTTCTAAACAAAAGCAATTAGAAACATAAAAAATATAATAAAAGGTAAACAATGTTTTGGATGTTTGTAATTTGTCAACATGTCATACTAGTGCGATCCTTGATATATATATACTTATTGTGCCTAATACACATAACACAATGCATGTAAGCCTTTTTCTACAATTTTTAAATTGTTTTAAGATTTTTTACGTAAATACATTGCACTATACTTGGAGAAGAAATCTAAAATTTACAGTACTAAAAGGGGAGATAACCTATTTTGTAGTATTTTAACACGACAAATAAATCATATAATTCTCAGTATTTATAGAAGAACAATAAAATTCGTCTAGCTGATCAACAATTTTAATAAAGTTGCTCATAATTAATTAGTAATTACTTAGATGCTATGATATTTTTGCTGCTATTAATAAATTTCTTATTTCCTTCGTTGTTCAATATTATATAAAATTTGGACTTAAAGTGGTGCCTGACTAATTTTATGGTTTTGATTAATACCTGAAAAAATAGATTATTGATAGTATAGTCCTTAAAATGCGAGATTAAATAGCAAACATCATTTTAATCAGACATTACTTAGCAAACGTTATATTGATAAAAGTTAATTGAATGCTCGCAATGCGAAAATAATGCTTTTTTAAATACTTTGTTATAAATGTTTGTTAAAACAGTGTCTTGTTAACAGCTTAATTCTTAAAATATGTACAAAATAAGTACTAAGCATTTATTTAAAATACGTACTTAAAAACGAAAATTTAGTTTGGCACTTTTGTCATGAAACTATCTGGCAAAACACATTAAACATGTTTTTAGAGTAACAGATAAATAATGAATCGTTTAACGAGCAATTTCATGCACAGTCATGAAAACTAAAATCATTATAGTATTACTACTTTGGTTAGCTAAAATATCAAACTACGATTGTGAATTCACGAAATGTGTTTTTATTACCTTAAACAGGCAAAGTAAATTTTTAGTAAATAATTTAAACTTTTCAAGGAAAAAAAACTACTTCGTGGATATTTCGAGGAAAGATTTTTATTTCTATATTCAAAAACTAAAATGATTACTGGACAAAAAGGCAAGTGGTAAACAGCAAGGAATAGCTTTGCTTCTCAAGAGTATACTTTCAACAGGAAAAGAAACAATTCAAATTGTTTTTGCCAAAGCAAGCTATTTGATTTTTGACTAATTTTAACAAGAATATATTCATCACTTGGAAAGTTTTACTGATGATATTTATGATTTATAAGAAAAATAAAAATGATGAGAGAAGAAAAAATAACTTTTTTACCTTGTGGAGGCTATGACATCACTTCCCATCTGCCGTTCCCTCGTGACATCCCCTCTGGATGAGGCGTGCGAAGAGTGGGTGGCTGTGGTTGCCATAGAAACACCTCCCGTGATGACACTATTGTGGTGAGAGGAATTGAGAGCCATGAAGGGTAAAGGAGACAAATGACTTGTTGTGCCTGGATGACCATAACCGTTTGGTAACATGTGCTTGTCCAGCCGATCACCTGCGAATGGATATAATTAGCACATATAAAGGTGGACAAATGTTAAAAAGATGAAAACTGAAAGCACATAATACAGATAAACTGCAGCATATAGAGCATGTATATTGAATTTATTAAAAACTCTATCATCATCTCATATTATAATTGCCTAAAAGAAAAAGGTTTTCTTATTATGTTTATGTTTGTAATACCATTGCATGTTCATTGATTTTATATTTAATTCGGAGAGTGAAATACGATTGATTTCAACAATTTATAGGATAGATACTTTTCGAACTCTCCGTCGTTATATAAAATATCACTTTTTTGCGATTTTTTTTAATAAAACTCTATTGCGTGTATGTAGAATTTTAAAAAATTCAATGAAATTTTTTTTTGGTGTGGGTTGGTTGGTGAAATTTCTTTTTGGATTTCAAATTGAGTAACCAATAAACCAATTGAATATAACCAATTGAATAACTGAAAACCAACAAATAACTTGGTTCATTCAATAAAAAATTACTTTTATTGGTTTTGGTTGAACATTATGGTTGTTTAATTGCTCTAGTTCCATAAGAAACTAGATATATTTTCGCTATTTCAAAATTATAAATTGTATTTATTTTAACTATACAATTTAGTTAAAAAAAAGTTAAATAATCAATAGAAGTTCAATAATATTATTTAAATAATAATAAAAAGCTGCATTCTTTATCGGTGAATTCATCAAAATCTATAATCTACCAAATTTTTCTGGCCTCGGATCCGCAGTTTTACATAGAGCAAAGCATCTTGAATTGTTTGCTACAGCTTTAAAGAAATAGTCTACATCCATTGTAAATGTTTTGATTTTGTGGTCAAAGTTAAAATGATATTCCACTACGTTAGCGTTTCTAACTCACGGATTTTTGCAAAATCTCTTATTTTTACTTATGTAAGTTTGATATTTTTTCACGGGAGCAGTGCATTTCACTAGAACGGACGCATGCGCACTAGAAGGGCGCATGCGCAATTACTTAAAACCTTGCATACGGGAGCGTACGTAAGGTAACATATATTTGCGAAATCTCCATATCATGTGCTCTTATATATTCTAATCGCGTGGTTTAATAAAGTAGGATTTCAGATGGGAGAGTAAAAGGGTTTAGGGTTAGATTTTAGGGTCCCAAAGCGAAAGTAATTGGAAACTCTTGATCTAGATGAAGAGAAGACACATTTTTATAAAAACGAAAATTAAGAATAAATTATTCGTAATTTTAAAGTTTTTTCTTCTTTTTTTTTGAACATTATTGAAATCGACATATACTAAAAATTATCTTTTGTAGGAATTCATGTGCAATTATATGTCGTTTGAATCAAGAAACATTTTTTTCCCTTTCGTATTTATGTTACTGTGAATGACCGAAATTGGTGGTTTGGTGAATGATGACAATCACTTAATCGCTTTGGTAGATGTCCAAAATATATACTGGGTCTAGTTAAGTGCCACTGCCTGGTATGCTCTACATCAATGGTTTTTTTAAGGTTCAGTGCCACTGTTAGTAAGCATTTAACCGGTACTGTGAACATTGATGTTTCTCCTAATCTTTCCTCAGAAAATATTAAAATATCGAATAAATATAATAATATCAACGAATAAATTAATATCAAATCGGATATAACAAATATTTCGAACATTCACCAAAGCGACTATGAGAATGTTGACATTTAACGGTGAAAGTTGACATTCTCTTGATTTCAATCATTCACGATAACATATATATAACCTATTTTGATGGATATTTCTTATTACATAGTATCAAAATACTTGTCTATAATGTCTCTCATTTTATTACTCAAATCAAATTAGTAAAACTAAACCATCTTCTCAAAGAACATTCTACAATACAAAATTTGATGTTTATAAAAACAAATTATCATCTCCCACGCGTCCATTACATTTCTTTTAAAACGTAATTGAAAGTTGGAAATTGAAATGAACTTGTTAATACTATATCTTCCCATAAGACAGAAGAGGAAAAAAAATACCATTATAGGTTGAGCGTAGAATGGGCATGCCAACGCTGTCATTTTGATATTTCCGCAGAATGCTCTTTTGATTAGACTGAAGATTGACATTACTAAGGGATCCACCCTTTTCGATATCTCGACGTCAGGTGTATGAGTTACACTTCTTCTTTTATTTTTGAATTATTGGTTATCTTATTAATGCATTTCTAAGCTGCAAGTTTACCAAATTGGGCAGATATTCGCTCCAAATCATTGTTATTCCAATCTCAAAACGAGATTTTTTTTTCTCCAAAAATGGAACTCATAACTAAGCCTAAAATGAAATTTCAAATAAAAAGTTTATATCGTAGTTTATACTTACAAAATATCATTCAAAAATTCTTGAGTACATTAAAGCTTCAGTGATAAACAACAAATATGATAAACAACAATATGATATTTGCTATAAACACCTTTTTACAGAAAAGAATGTACTAGTTCACTATTACTACGTTTTTATTAAATCGTTTTTGTGCCTAAAAAGCTTGATTCTTGCAATCAAAAATTCGAATTCTTTCCGACTAGCTGGAGCACTCAAAACTCATTTGCAACTCTATAACTGATGCCAGTGCATGTTTCAATGGCTTACTGACCGTTACAAGCAGAAATTATCGCCTTTTTTTTTCAAATAAGAATCATCATCAATAAAAATCCGATCATAATCAATTAGATCTAAAAACTCGTCTGAAACTATGTTAGACGACAATGCAGGTTTCAACCATTTTCTAATAGCTAAAAACAATATTTATTGCGATATCACGTCTAACGGGAATTATTGAAATTTTGAACACATTTCGACGCAAAAGATACAAAGGAACGAAATTAAATTGTTGAAAATCATAATTATTTTTTTAAAAAAAAGAGCGTTTTCTGGTTGATTAGAAATTTTGACTCTCGTAATAAATTTCTTTTACCATCGAAAATCATCTTTTCAGACTTTTTAGAATATTTATTTTGATAAATCATTTTTAATATATAATTATTTTTTATTTCTTACTTAATGTTTATTTTTATTATATTTACTTAAATTATATCTTCGCATATTTTAGAAGTAAATTTTGTATACATTTAATTATTATTATTAATAATTATTATTATTAATAGTTATTATTATTATTATTAATAATAATAATAATATCATCACTGTTACTATTTATTTATTTTTTATCAAAAAATGTTATTTTCTTTTTTGAATAGATACATCTGAAGATAATTCGGAGATATAATCTTGAATTATAATATTTGTTGAATATGCAGTGCCGTATGTAATATCAGGTAGGTACTTTATTTACGTCGCACTAGAGCTGCTCAATGGGCAATTGGCTAAGGTCTGGGAAACATCAATGTGGATGATCCGAAGATATGTCATCGCAATTTTGATCCTCTGCAGAGGACATGGCTGCCCTGCTTTGGTAGCCCGACAACCTGCGTACGAAGTCGAGCAGTTTACGGTAGAACAGTTTAACGAGCACCAATACCTCGCGCTCTCGGTCCCTACGCAGGCTGATCAAAGATATCCAACCGCTTACTGGCTGCAGCCAGTGATGTTTAACTTCGGTGTTCTACTGGAAACCGTATCTTTACAATCAGTCCACTGCGGGGCCAGACATATTCTACAATGGTAATTTCTCTTCGAAAATTCTGCGAATGTTAACAAAGGATAACTTTTTGGGTCATTCAACTTTAGGAAAAAATTTCCTGTGGTGTTTTCAAGACGACGATATTAGAAAGGATGAATACAAAAAGACATTTTCCTCTAAATATAGCAGTTTCCAACGAGATTTGTCTTCTTGCCATAATTAAAAAGAAAGAAAGATATTAATGAATAAAAGAAAAGAAAAACTTAGTCACAAAGACAGTGACTGCTACAGAGAGGTCGGAAAAATTTTCCGGATCTTAACGCACTAAAAAATCCTTGAGCTGTTTGGAAGCAAAAGTTTGCAAAAATGTATTGTAGAACAAAAAATAACCCCATTTGTCATTTAATTGAAATATGGTGAGAAAACACTGTAATAGCCTGTTAGAATCTATGCCAAAACGAGGGAAACTGGTTTCAAAATTGATGGGGGAGGGAGCTATATTACATATTATTTAAGAACGAAATGTGTAAATATTTTTAAGGAACTGTTGTTTTTCAAAATATTTTTTTGATTCAATTATTGCTCACGGTACTTATTATTATTATTATACATATAACCACAGTTGAACAGCCGACCCAATTTTGAATTCACGACAACCAATGTTTAAGTCTGTAGGGAAAGACAAGGGAATTCCCGCATTTGCGTTACATGGGAAGGAAAACCAGGTGTCAGCCCGCCATCACTGGGATTTGAACCCGAGTCCCCTGATTCGGAGATAAGCGCACTATTCACTGAGTCACCATGGGTCACGGTACACATTTAAAAAAAAATGAAACAAAACTTGATTCGCAGAAATTTTATGGTTTTGCTTTGAAACTCATTAAATGTAAATGTCAGTTCTGATAGTACCAATCTTTATTAATATTAGAACTATGCCAAATTGCATTAAAACTAACAATTATTTAGATACTCTTATGCATTATATAGCATTAAAACTCGTTAAAAGTAAATGATTTAGTTATTATTTTTTTTCTTATCACAAAAAATTCTGACTGAAACGATTTATGCCATAATATGGAATAATTTGCAAATATTTTCTCAAAGACCTTCTCATAAATATAAAATTATTTTCTCAATGTTCGAAGTATGATAGAAAAAAATGAATAACTGCTTAGGCAATAAATTACATTTGAAAGAGGAATGAAATATATGATCTGACAGTGGAGTGGTATATATCATTACTATTCAGTCGCGAATTTATCGCTTAATTTCACTCTTTCATCATTCCAAATGAAACATAATTCTCTTACGCGAGTGAAGCCACCCACATAACTGACATGTAGACGAACTCCAACCGTCTTTTCTTAATTAATTAAATTAATATTCTTGGCG